TCTCAGAGAGTAAAAAGAAACTCAATGTTCACGTGCTAAATTTGTGTAATGGATTTTGCCCTCTCTTTACTTTGGAACTATTCTCATTAAAACATATGGATATCAAATATAAAGTACCAATAATATAGCGGCTGTTCAGATTACACGGATGCACTGGCTGCAATACGTCTACAAAGGCCACGTTCAATGTCGATATATAAGGGAGATAACTGATTCTTCACTTAATAAAATAAGATTAATTTCCCTTGATTTTAAAAAAGATTTTTTTCTCACTAGGCCGGTTTAATAAAACGCATTTGTTTCCTGTCCCCTAATCAATGTGCAAACACTTTTGAGCTCAGGAGATTTCTAAATGACATATTTCACGTATATATTTTTTATTGTCTGTATGAATTCACCTAAAACTGGTCTCTGAAGCAATGAAATAAGCTGTATGTGCTTAATTTCGTTACAAAATCAATTATTCGCCAATTTTGCTTTCATGACTTGATCAAGGAATGCATTCTTATTTGTCTGTCCAGGAAATACTTTGAGTGACATAATCCTAATCACAATATATTTGCAGAGAGTCAAAAACAAGTTTATGTTCAGAAAACTGTATCAATGTTGATAGGCGCACAATAAGCAAACCGACTTTTTAATCGGGCCTTATAAGAAACAGAAATTCATTTCAAAAAGAGGGAGAGTAATCTTACTTACATAGTTTGATAGTCAGTTAACTCCCTTTGATAAAAAATGTTTTTCCTTGGAATCATTCGGTTTACTTTTGACTTATGTATGATTGTGTTCAAAAAGAAAAAGAAAACATGTCCATAAAATATATGCTCATGACAGTAAGGAACTCCGGCCAAGAAAAATATTAATATATATCAAACTTTTATAACAAAACATTTAGCCGGCAAAAAGTTATATATATTTTGATTTTTAAGTCATTTTTCATGCCCCTACAAAAGGAAATATATTTTTCGCGTAACATTTTAATTAATGTAAAAAGCATATCTTGTTAAGTCACTTTGTTGATTGAATATATCAAAAATAAAAACAACATGAAAATAAGAGTCCTATTGATCTGAAATTCTTAAGAACTAATTCAGTAGATCAAACTTCTTTTCCTTTTTTCTTTAATTGTTTCCATATCAGTGTTACACTTATCCTGTTTCATAGTTTCATGGACTCACTTAACTTTCTATTTAATTAATATATGTATTAGGAATTTAATATCAACGCCTTAACTGAATGGGGCTATCATATTAAGCCTAGTGCTGGAACCTATAAAAGATTTCCGCCATACTTTTAGTTATTTAAGGTGTTTAGATTAGAAAATCAGTTTTTTCTTTTTCTTTCACTGTAAACTGTGATGCACGATGAAAACGTGATGAGACGATGATGAAAATGTGGTGGTACGATGATGAAAACGTGATTTGACGATGATGAAAAAGTGATTTGACAATGATGAAAATGTGGTGGGACGATGATGAAAACGTGATGATAATACGATAATAAAAACTTGATGGGACGATGATTAAAACGTAGTGGGACGATGATGAAATCCCGATGATAATATTGGACGATAGTGCTCCGAGATAGTGGTATGGGACGATGGTGAAATAGCGATATATATGCCATTGCTGTTTTCACAATCGAGCCGTCTGCCACAACGATTCCACCATCGTGGTATTCCGATTTTACCCTTGTATTATTGTGCTAATAACATAAAGCTATCGGGTTTATACCGTACTCATGCCATATTGTTTATACCATCGAACTATCGCCATTTCACCATCGTACCAACATCGCCATTTCACCATCGTACAATCATCGCCTTTTCACCATCGTATCATCGCCAGGCATAAAGTTTATAACTTATTTACTGTCATATTTTAGGAGTCCATGACCGAATGGTTCAGATCGTTGACTTGCCTCATACTGCTGTGGGACCGATTTCTGCCAGCGACTTGTTTTTTTTTTTCATGTGAAGAAGCTATCCAGCTAGTTTAACGAACATCGGTGGTCCTACTCATGTCCCCGTTCGTGCCTGAAAAATATGCACGGAGGGGAACCTTTGATCCTCGAGCTCCTCCATTAGTACAGTTGGAAAATTGCCACATGACTGAGTTGGTGCGACGTAAAACGCAATAAAGTTCCCAAACATTCTTGATTAAAAAGGATCGCAAAAATTCAATGACCACTATGATTGCAATCAGAACATTTTACATTTATTAACAAACAAATGGGGTTTGATAATTTAGAAACTCCGGTCAAAAATATTATTCACCTTTAACTTGATGTAATTTATCATTTAAAATCTTTGTGTTAACTAAGCATATATACAAACATAACGTAAATACGCGCTGAATGTTACCGTTAAACTATATGGACGACAATGTAAAAGTGATTCGTTTTACAGATATGATAAATAAAATATAATATTAGTGTAGATTCAACACCAAATTAAATGAAACAATATTATGCTCGCCAAATCCTCTATATTGTAGAAAATATGCTAACGATTAAGATGACTGCCCCCCCCTCCTCCCTCCTAAGGAACGGACAATAGGACAAGTCTTTAAAAAATAAAATTTAAACATCTTTTTTATAAAAATGTCCTTTCTTCCTTTTAGCCTCGCTGTGGGTGATGGCCTCAGAATCACACTTGTGGTTAAAAGCATATGAAGCCTAAGAAATTAATATGTTTTTAACTTTGTCTTTTGACGTTTTATCTGTGATATGCAAGCTTTATAACCTCTGATCCCTTTTTAAATTCCATTTTGTTTAGTTCCGCTGTTTGTTTCCTCAACACTTGACTCAAGTCTGTGCTAGGGGGCGTGGACGGTAGATTGCACTTGACAGTATCGTCCATGAACGGGCTCTTTCAAAATCGAGCTTGAATATTTTTCAATTTTGTTGTTTTGGGATTCATATCATATTTATTTAACTCTCTGTATAAGTAGCAAACCTGTTTTTTTTATAAGAATTGAATGCATGCTAATTATATGTATGGGAGAAGCTTAAAACTTACCATCTAAAAGACAAATATAACATTGTATGAATGAATTAAAACAGAGGCTATGAACTGATGATACATCTATCCTTAGTATTACGACTTCATCAAATGATGTTATATTGACATGGATTTCAAAAAATGAAATACATTTAACGTGAGATCAAAACAAATCATATGACCTGACCAAAACAATTTAGAAATGATTCTGATGAAAATTAATCAAAAAAACTTCTTCACAGAAGAAATATGAAAATTAAAACAATATCTTTAATCATGAGTTTCGTTATGAAACGAAAAATAAATCAAAGATATACGTTTTCTTCTCGAAATAGTAAAAAGCTTTGCAGGTATATATAGAGGATATTTGTTTGTTTGTGTGTAAGATGAAATTTTATTTCATCGAGTGGGCTTTAAAAACAGTATTCTCACGAGTGGCGTAGCCACGAGTGAGAATACTGTTTTTAAAGTTCACGAGATGAAATAAAATTACATCTTACACAACAAACAAACAAATTTTCTTTTTATTTTATGCTAAAAAACAAGTTTAAACGAAATTTGCATAATATTAACATAAATATTAAAATATGTTTCCCCATTGAGAGCCCCATTTCGTGCGAATTTCTCATTAAAAACAAGAAGTCTTGAGCTGAAAAATAAGTCCGACAATCAACATTAAATGACAGTGATATTAATTATTTTGTTTAAAAAATATGAATGATCGCTTGTTTTAATAATAAAAACAAACAATTCGTGTAGGAGAAAATTCCAACCATCCATCCATATTTCTGTTACTTACTGCGAATTTATATTAGACCTGGCTTTGTTGAATGTAAGCGGCAGCCATTTTTTAAAGTTGTGTATTTCACGGGAGGAAAATAATTGTGTTTGATTCAGAGGGATATCATTTGGAATTGTTAGTCATACACCTTTTTAAAAGAAAGAAAACATATTTGAGGATTGAAACAGACAAAAAATAAGTGTTGACAGATGTGAAAACATGAAAAAAGCAGCTATGAAAATGGAAGACTTGGAACTTGCTCGGAACGCTGGGCGGTTTAATTGTTCTACGAGCTGTAGCTGTCATTGCTTTTCAATTTTTCATAAAGCATACGGCAGTTATTACTCGTAGGATACTTTAATATGCCCAAATGTCATCAAGAGCAGTTTGCATGTGGAAGGAATGTATTTTTCAGACTGTAAAAATGAAACATAAAATTTAGAGACGAAATTTGGTGATAGGAATTTGAATGAATAAAAGTAAGTTTTCTTCTTTTTATTACTTTTGACGTTTAAGGTATTTATCAATTTCAGCTTTGCTTTTTCTTTAAACAGCCTGACATTGTCAGAAATGTCAACAAAAATAAAATTGAGGTACCACATGGGGAAAATCTTTAAAAAGTAGTTTCGTCATTGAAAAAAGTGAAATTATATTTTGATAATTTTCACTGTGAAATTACCAAATATAATTTTCACGGTAAATCAGTAATCCGCTGAAAAGCATAAAATAAAAGCTTGTAACTCTTATAGACATAATCTATGTTGTTAAAATCTTCTAGACTTCACCAGGATATAATTGCTTAAAATTATTCGCCAGGCGGTTTGTATATCACGAACCTGCATAATTTGCCTTGTTTAAAACATAAATGATTAAAAACTGCTTAACTCAAGCAACAAATCATTAAAATCTGCCTAACTTAAGACAAATGCCATGCCACTAAATAATCACATCATAATCATAAATCAAATTTAGATAATTCATTTCTGTTCAAATAGGAAATTATGACAATGAGAATTCAACCGTCTTAATAGAACATGTTCCTGTATAATAAATGACTTCAAATTGTCCAAATTCACAGACTAATTAAATTATATATATAAGGAAATGTACGTACAGTCGACTCTCGTTATCTCGAAGTCATCGGGACCATCCAAAAAATATCGAGATAACGAATTGTCAAGGTAAACATATGTATTTTTGTTGGTTTAAAAACCTGCAGTTTACGGTAACTAAACATTTATCAAATCACGATCCTTCAGATCTTGTCTCGATATAGCTACAGGTTAACTACAGTTGTAGTGATCGACCTTCACTTGGCATTCAATTCGTCGACAATGTTTCTTATTCCATCCCAGTTTACTGTTACCTCTGGTAGCTTCTGAAGCTCTGTTATTAACACTTGTAGAGACACATCATCATCATTCATGTCACGCCACTCAAGCAACATCTTAAATATTTGCTTGACATTACTTCCATTTTCATCTCTAATGTGTTCCAACTTTACCCTTGGTATTTTAAGTGCATGTCCAAGCAACTCCCAATCTGTCCCAATATTTTGAGAAAACTTCTGAAAGGTTGAAGGAGATGGACATCCAGGTGGCACGTTCGGGAACGATCCTTTACCTTGGAACCATTCTTCTAATGCTGAAGTTGTTTCAATCTCGTGGGATTCTAAATCCGGGCACGTAGAACATTCAATACTTATATCTCTACCTATGTTCTTGATGACCGTGCCTCCATTTGGTCTATGGCTTTCGTGATTGCACGAGTATCCACGATTAAAAGGCAACACATTTTGCTCCAAGACTCCTTCGTGTTTCCTAAATTCATACATTACTACTGACTCCGCATAGCGTCTGAATTCATCAACGATGAATTTGTTGATACTGCGACGCCGTGTCAGACGCATTAAAGAAAGGTGTATGTGTCTGTCATTTAACCTAATGACTCCTGCATGATACGCATCCATTTGGACGATGGAAAGATTCTCGAAAAGGAGCTTTGTTCCTCTGAATTCTAAAATTGACCATTTTCCAAGAGCAGCTGCAACAAGTCGGTAAAATATAGTTGGTACAATGGCCGAGTTGTCGAACGAAATGACATATTGAATTTTTGTTTGCCGCTTGTTTTCTTGGAATTTTAGAATTTCTTCAGCTCGACTATGATCGGGAAGCAAGCTTGGTACGACATACCAGCCGAGACCAACTGCAACTTGCTTTGTTTCGTCGAATTCCATTGCCTGTGAAATGATTCGATGTTTCTGAAGAAACCAGAGTATTGTTTCCCTGTGTTTCATAAAACCTTTCTTCCTTTTACGAGTCCATAATTTGTCAATCAAAGAATTTTCCAGTTTTCCCTCCGTTGCTAGGGCTACCCATGCTTCATTAACATCGAGCTCATTTGTAACGAAACGTTTGGCTGTTATCAGGCATTTGAATGCGTCCACAAGATATTGTGGATCCAGTACAACAAATTGGGGTTCCTCATCGAAATACACTAACGTTCCCTGGTCATGCTTGTGTTTTAAGAACAGTCTAATCTGGTCTTTGTCTTTCAGGGGATATTCAGTGTCTGCATCAATTTCAACAATTGTTTCAAATGTGACAATCTTTTCGTGTCTACGCTCGAACAAACATTTTTCAAGCTGAATCCACTTTGCTGGAACTGTTCTAGACAGCGAAATGTCGTGCCCAAGATTTATCAAAGTATCTCGTAGATTTTTTAAGGTTTCACATTGAGTGTCATAAGTGTCCAAAGCGAAGTCTTTGTGGTAAATGTGATTGAGCGCTTGTTTGCCTTTGAACAGCAGTCGAATGTTGTCAAAATACTTGTCTGCCTGTCGCTTTTTCTCTGAATCATTTCCTTTTAGTTTGTCAAGGTGAGTTCCCACAAGTATGATTATTGGCTCTGTACTATCTCTGTTACCAACAAAAGAATGAATTGAGTTCACCCAGAACTTTATATAGTATTCCATGTTTCTTTTCCCATGGCTAACACGACATTCCTCGTCATCATTGAGCACAACATCAGATAAGTCCAAAGATAAATTGAACACAAGCAGGTAAACCGCTTTCCTACTATGAAACAAAGTATGCGTGGCATAGTACACAATTTGTCCTGCAAAGTCCCAAACATCCATTATTTGTATAATATCATCTTTACCGGGGCTTTGTTCTCTTTCTTGTTTCACCTCTTGAATTAACATGTTTCTTTCTTCTTCTGTCATGTCTTTTGGCGAATGGACAGGATTGTTTGTGCCCCATAACCTTTTATACACGTATGAAGAAGTGAAAAACTGTTTGAGCTTTTCTTTAAATGTATTTCTTCGTCCATGTTTTGTTGCATTGATTCGTTTAGCAATGTCTGCTGGATCCTGACCGTGGGTTACTTCGTAGATTATTTTCCCAGAAGCATCTCTTCGGCATTTGTAACGTGCGATATCGATTCCATTTGTGCTATAGATACTTTTCTCACAGTTGCCAACAAGGGCAGCAACCAGTGATGATTTCCCTTGCTTATAGTTACCGACCACGTTAAATCTAGATGACGTATCATGTTCCACACCGTCTTCGTATGCTTTCTTGATTAAATCATCGGCAAGAGGACCATATTTTCTTTCATCTGAAACATAAAAACCTCTTTCATCAATTTCTTGATTTTTTAAAACCCATTAGCGAACATAATATGACCTAATATATGTACAATGTACAAAAAAGCCCCACTCAATGATAAAGAAAATGTATTTATGCGCAAATTTTAGAATAAAGTAAAAGAAAGTATCGACACAAAATCTTATAAACTATTAAGAGCGATATACAAGTTAAAGATATAGTGTTGATGATTTTGAAATTCAATACCCTTATACCCTTATACCAAATTCATGTATATTCACAGAAAGAAACACAATCCTACTAATGTAACCCATTTTCATTTTAATTAAAAGCTGCCAACAGCCTTGTAACAAGTTAGTTAAAGTTGACGATTAGTTAAAATATTTTAAGAAAATCAAACTTGAGAAAAAAGTAATAAAATCTTAAGAAAAGTAAAATAGATTCTAGGTTCAAGTAATAATTTACATGTTATATGCTATAAATGACTGATTTTGCAGTATTAATAATCACATTTCTACTTCGTAAGTAACGAGGTAACGGCTATTTTTGCATATTTTGACCTCTTTTATGCAGACTGTAATGGTCGTTTGCAATGTATTACTTCTTTGTTCTTTGTTCACATCACAACATTAAACTTTTAAATACATTTTAAAAAATTTCATGAAAATAAGCATGAACCTGGAGGCATGCAACTTAAAATTGAATATTCAAAACGTGACCACTCGTTTTCAATTCCTTCATTTCAACGCTTTTTACTCAAATCCGGCTAAAAAGTCGATTTTCAATCTTAAATCGAAGTATCCTTATCCTTTATAGATTTAACCATTTTAAGTGCTTGATTTGATTTTTGTATGGTTTTCAAATATCATAATTTAAGCCATTTGAGTCTCAGTGAAGTTCCTTTACATGTGCGATTTTTGAAGATCAACAAGTGTAATAGCGTCCTTTTAGAGCTTATCGCAGCATCAAACGGTTCTTAGAACAATTTTTAGTTGTTTAATTCTATATACATTGCTAAGAATTACCTTCTCTTCTTTGGCGTTGCTCTGAAAAAAAAAAAACAACAATTGTCTAGTACATTTATATAGTGAAATTTTAAAACACAATAAGTAAAACAGATCATAACATTTCTTATCACACAAACCGCGGCGCAGGAGTGTAATAATGCCATTTAATTAAAAACATATTTAATTTACACTAGTGTAATAACACTGACGTGACGTCATTTGCGCTATACATAAAAATAGCGTTAAAGCGCGCTAATGTTAGCGTTACACAATGAAAATTTTTTTTTTTTGAATATGTAATAAATAGAATATTATATTCGTGTAGATTCAATACTTAATTTATTGAACTCGTTCAATAAAACAATATTATATTATACAATTCGTTTAATAAATTAGTATATAACCTACACTCATTCAATATCCTTTATTTATATAACTTATTATATGAAAATTCAAACAAATGATAATACCAGGCCAGAAGAAAGAGCTTAGTACAAGAATGCAAGGCTACCTCGAAAACCCCAAATTCACTAGTTTTACATAATAATGTAAAATTCCTTTAAATTAGTTTTGTTCTGTGAAGCTCAATTCCAATTTCTGCTCAAACGCCTTCTTAAACTCGTTGCCGTTTTTCTGTGAAAGTATTGTCTTTTGACTTTAGAACAGGTCAGTTGCAGTATAAAAGTACTGAAAATGGACGTAAAGAATTATCATTATAGGGGGGTATAGTCAGATTTTGCTGGCAGTACAGGCTAGCATTGCCGTGCCGCAGCCTGATGGTACCGGCTGCCTGGTTATTCCTGCTGCTATTTTTAGTAGTATTGGTCTGTAATTAGAGACAAAGGATGACAAACAATTAAATTGATATTGTGTTAGCAATTATGAGACAGATATACATGTTCATTCTCTTGATGAACGACATGTTTAGGTCGACATTTGCCACTCACTAGACCTAACAATGACAAAAAATGATATTAAATTATTAACCTACCTTTCCGCCTAAGTAATTCCCTTTTTTCATCTGAAACAGAAGAAGTAGAAATAATGAATTGCCTTTATAAAAATTTTGCATGGTATACAAGAAATACGTGTTCTCAGGTAAGCATGGGACATAGATTTACATGGTATTATACATTTATGACTTGAGTTTGTTTACATTTTGTATGACATAATATTTGTATGAATCAAAAATTGTATCTTGCAGTTTTGATGTGGTAAAACAATTAATTGCAAAGCGTAATATTGTTGATCAAGTGTGTAAGTCACAAGAGGCGATAAGAGATCAATTCTGCGTACATCATAATGTTATTATAACCTGTTGTTGTTGGCAACAGATTTTACCCATGCAAACAGTGCTGAACAAAAAAAAAGTCGGCACGGCCCCGCCGTCTTATCATTGTCTGCGCTATTTGCTATTCATTCAGTATATATTTAAAGTAATAAAACAGAGAGATATTTACCTTCTTGTCTGCGAAGTTTTCTTCTTTCCTCTGCAGAAAAAGAAAAAAATTCCAACTGATATTTAAAGTTAGATAAAAGACAAAGTCTACAAATGAGTACAAAAGGATATGCAATTTTCAGCACGTTTAAAAATGTACAGGACAATGACTTTAAGTACTTAGTGTGAAATCTAATTTGTAACATTTGTGAGCCAAATAAATAAAAAAAATTTTTACAAATACATTTGAGGTAACTTCAAAACAATCGGCGATCTTTCGGAAACAGAGAAGTTGGGGTTTCCTATTTTAACTTTCCTGATAGAGAGGCAGACAACTTTAACTCTTGCGTGGTCTCCCCTTCCCTCCTTCCCTTAAACAGGAAGATTTTTTTCTCTTTTTTTTTGTAAACAAATACGACATATTTACCTTTTCGACTGAGCCTCTTTTCTGAAACAGATATACAAAATATACAAAACATTTATAAGTTATGAGCATTTTCACAGATACCACAATTTCTTAATATTTTCTCAAAGTTAATGTCAGCAGCATAAAAATTGTCTTTAAGTTTATTTCATAGGTAAATACACCGTGCTTGCAATTTCAGAGTATACATTAATTCCGCTACATAAATCAAAAGTGTTGGTAAAGAAATTTAAATTTTTCAGTACCATTCTTTTAAGTCAACAAAAAACGTGTTGTTTTTTAGATATATCTATAAGTAGATCTATGGTAATGATCAAATGTAATATCAACAAACACATATCGTACCTTTCTTTCTCTGACTTTCTTCTGAAAAAATAGAATGAAAAAAGAGATTATAATATAATTATTAATTCCTTTTTTGTAAAAATTTATTGCGTATTCTTATTCACATTCGAATTTTTTTTGACCATAAAGGCTTTTTTAAAAACAGATGATGAAGATTTAATAATTGAAATATCAAACTGACATTGGACAGACAACAATATGACTTCTGATATAAAAAGGTCTTATTTATTATAGTGTCACCCCTACTGAAAGGGCCAGCCATTTCTGACTTATGAGCATACCATGTACCTCCTACCACTATGCCAGGCGCCAGGTGGATAGAAATCGGTAACCATTCATCTTAAATACCTCGCTGCTCGGGAAGCGGCCATTTCGGAACGAGTCCCACGAGAACATTAACAAATATGAAAATTAATGGGAAGACATTAAGATAAGGTTTCTTACCAAATTCGCGCTCCAATTGCTCTTGAACTTCTAAAAAAGTAATAAAAACACATATTGAAAGCCAGATAAACAATACAAATAAAGCATTTATATTTCTAATTAATTCTGGCCATTAATTTATAAAAAAGGATCATTTACTAGCATAAATAATAAAACATTTACTTCAAGTATAAAATACGGCTTTTAATATTTTCAAATTCAACGAACGGTCTGGGTAGCATTAGGTAGATATATTAGTTAAAACACCGGTGTCAATGTAGCAAATTAGGAATTTACGTGCGGTTCTCTGACTTAAAAAAATTAATACTAAAACACAATTCCCTTAAATATATCCGGACATTAACAAATACGTAGTACTCACTTAAGTCATTCTCATCTAGTCTTAACGAACCTGAAAAAAAGTCATTTAAAAAGCAAGTAGTAAAATCTTGCCAATAAACGTACAATTATTATGCAACAGTCTGAAGTAATCATGTTGTTTGTAAAAAATATGCTAGCGTAAAAAGAACAGAACAGAAACTTTATTTTATTAGATATGTACCATAACATATTTACAAAATTGATACATTTACATGTAATTTAATACTCACACGATAAACCAGTTCATAATTATCGAATCGCATTATACATACATAACATTAACACATTTACATTTAATACAATAACACTATATTTTAAGCATACAATATTTATCATTTTCTATTTTGAGAGGATGGACTTAAATATGTGTAGCAGATGCTATTCAAGTCATGGCACGTTTAATATAAATAGCTCAATTTGTGAGAATTGTTCTGTTATCATTTTTAATAATTCTATAAATTTAAACATGCTTGGTTTAACATAATAATACGTTTTAGGTATAGTTTCCTTAAATCATTATAACATGGTCAAATCAAAATGAAATGATATTCGTCGCAAATGTCGTGCTTATATATAACGTTGATTTCTCTCGATTCTTTGGGCCTGTAAAGCATTGAAACATAGCTAGTGTACATGTATTTAGTTTTCTTGGGTCTAACTTTAATATAAACCTTTATAGTTTGCTGATTCAACCTTTGGAACCAATGAATATTCCCAGAATTTATATGATAATGAACGTCATAATGTGGTACGTCGATCGTGTTCCGTTAAACATGCTTAAAGATAAACTATGCTCAATTTTAATGTTTAAAAATATTGATAATTGCTACACAGTCTCTTTGTAAATATAAAATGAACATGTTTGACTTCACAAAATGTAGATATGTTATTAAACTCTACACGCTGTAGGTCCACACAATGAATATATAATGTCATTAAAAAAATGGCATTTTTAAAAGAAAGAACCAACTTTTCTTGATCCGTAATAGGGAATGCAGCTTCCCATACATAGTGTGTACATTCTTTTAATCAAATTAGACGTATTGAGTAAGAACTTTCGGCGATAAAAATATGAAAATATCTTTCTGAAAAGATTATCATAGTATATATTCAAACAAAACGAACATGTAGCATTTTCAAATTTACCGTCAAGGACTAGGTTAAGCATATCCATTTCACTTGGATTACCTCTTCCAGAAAGCCCAGCCTTATTCGTGTTCCTTGTTTACTAATTTTTGACGTAAGAACCACGTGATCTGCCCACCATATTTATTAATCAAGTTTTTTTTATCAAACATAATAAAACATACTCATGTAACGGGATTTTTAAGTTATTTCGATTTTAAGTTATTTTGATCATCGTTTTCAATTGGAATACCTTCATTTATATAAGCGATTTAAGCTTAAAGCTAATATGTCAACATGAGAGAATTGGTCGTGCAGTGACCTATGGTTCATAAGTTTATGGTTCATAAGTTTAAATTTATCGGCACTGGTTAACTGTTAGAAAGCAATATTTTAGCTGAAATTAGTTTTTTTTCAGTGTTTTTTTTTTTTTTTTTTTTTTTTTTTAATCATCGATTCTAATACTTTTGAGAGTGGGATTTCAGAGTGGGATAATTCGATACAAGGTTGCACTTTCCCTCGTGAAATGATTTAATAAAATCTGATATTTTTGTTCAATTTTAAACAAAGACAACAACACTGAAAGCGTTTTCCACTGGTTAAATAGCAATAATTTGGGTCCAAATGATATGTGTGTAACACACAATCTTCTATAAAGATCTTAATTTCTTTAGACATATTTTCATCTGATATTTCATATGATTAAATCATTATTTTAACTACCTCTCTACTTGACCCATGAAAAGAAAATAGGAATGAGAAAAAAATAAAATATTACAAAAGAATCATCGATTAGGCCTTCTTAATATGAGTAATATAATTATCTTAAATAAGTATTTTGAAATAAACGTATGTGAAGTATTGTAATTGCATACCATTTCATGTCTGTGAAGCAGATAATACAAGTAACGGATTTATTCCCATATCAAATATAAATATTCTATCTTACCTAAGCCTAGATCTGCATCGCCCCTGTGTGTCAATCTTCTGGTCATAATCAATGCACGTCACATGCTGAAAATACAAACAAACTTTTATAATATTTATAATGTTGAAATGAGTTAAAGGCAAAGACAAAATAGATTCAACCTTTCTCATCTCTTAGTGCCTCTTTACCGTTTTGTAACATCTTGTTCCCTTCTCTATTGGATATCGAAATAACATTAAAATTTGAATAATGACCAAAACATTTCTTTAAAAAAAATACTCAAGTCTAAAAAAGAAAGAAAAAAACGCTACAAGAAGCTTCTTGCGTTTTTATCAAAGACATTGTTATTATCTGATAATGAAATGATTGCAATTTTAAAATAAATTATGTGAATCAGCATAATATGACATATTGGAATGTTGAACGTTTTTTTTGTTGTTGGGCAAAACGGTACAGTCATATGTCGACTTTCCAACTTTTTTGGTGCAGGAAGACCTCAGGTATTCTTCCGAACAATATTTCAGTCACAAACTGGCAACGGAGTAGAACCACCGACGTACGTTGCGAAAGCTAGTAGGATTAAATTACAAGGATATATTAAACTGCTAATCTTTTGTAAAGGTTACATACATGTTTATACAGACAAAAGATAGTTTTACAGATCTAATATGAAAATGTCTAACATCTTCTTGAAGATAAACCAATGTCTGATATATTACAAAAAAAAAAATAAAGATTAAATTTATTTATAATTTAAACATACCTCATTTAATATTCTTGACAATTAGTCACCATGATTAGTGAAAAAGGGTAGCTGTTGCCCCTTACATTGTTATATAATTCTGGTCCCTGGGAATTTATTGATTTTACAAAATTTTATTGAATTCGCAATACCCGGGGCTAGGGGGCTCTGAAATGTGACTTTCCCTCTCACTCACGAACAGAATTAATAAAACAGATTTTAAAAAAAAATTTTTAAACTTTTTTTTCTTGCCTTTAGGGTTTTCCCCTTTAGAGTTTTTAACAAATTTTCCAGATTGATATCATAATTTCGTAATGAGATTATGCCATTATTATGGTTACTACATTCTCTATATGCAGACGAAGGTTACACATGACGTAGCTATCTATTCTTATCGGTATTGGAAAACCAAAATTTAAGTTTTAACTGATTTAACCTTCAATATTGTCCTTGGTTATAAAGAAATAAAATATGTATACATACGTTGGAATGTTACACTGATTCATCAAAACATCATATAGTAGAGACTGAAATGGATGCTGATCATCATTGCAATGTTGTTTTTTTAAAGTCAATAAAGAATTCGATCGCCTGGGACAACAATGGGCGCCATTTTAGCCACATTGATTGATGGTCAAATATTCAAAGTTTTGATTTTTTTATAAATCCGACTTTTATTGTCATTAACAATGTGTTATAAGGCAGTTGATAACATATAATTATAATGTTATTATGTTATTAAAAGTTCAGTTTATTCTGTTTTAATATCTGACACAATTTAATCGTATCTAGGTCAATAACGTTGTAAACGTATCCACCAATTAAATATATATTTATTATTATATATGTCAAAATGTTAATACAAACACATATTTTTACCAGTATGTTAAAAGCATTACAAGTATATTCAAAAATTGAAAATAAACTTTGATTAAATTTTACCTGTATTTGTTTACCTTTCGTTTAATTCCTAGTTTGATATGATAAACTTACACCGTCCATTTAAGTTCAATAAACCAGTTCCGTCTAAATATAAACACAGCGCATTTACAGTTTAGTTTAAAGGAATTCAAGCGTATATCCCAGTTTTAACGTATCTAAATATTATGTTTAATGCGGACGCCAATAATTATTGATCTCTCTGTATCTATATCTTAAATAAAGCTTCATCGTACTTGCTATTATATTAATATTCAAAAAATATTTATACGTATAGTTGTTTTAAATCCTTCAGCAACGTTGAGTATATAATTTACGAACATACCGGTAAATATTGGCAAATTGAAATTTCGTAAATCACAAGAGCTATGAGAGAACACTAATGGTATGCCTTTCGGAATGTGTCAAGAAAATATGGAGGACATGGTGAATAAAAAATGTAGCTTTTAAATACCGCCAACTCAACAATGTGACTTAAACTTTCCATTTTGACCACCTATAACGCATTGGGTATTCTAATCTGTATCGGTATCATGGCTGGGTATACTCGTTATGACCGTGTAAGTTCTATATTACGTACTATAGCCGCAGAACGTATGTCTCAACTTTATGTTGCATATTAACTAGTATGCGGATCAATGATGCTTATACCACGTGATCTGTGATTGGTCGTGTGATTTTAGGCGGGAAATCAGTTCTTCGCCTGGGACAATTTTAATCAAATTTGAATATTGTATTTTAGTCAATTGTTGCATGTGGCTTTGAGATAAATATTTGTGATCAATCGAAAATATAAAACAGATGTAATATAAAGATGGTTTAAGTTACAGTCATGCAATTTTATGATTGTTAAATAATTGAAACATGCTATAGATTTTAACCATGGTATGATGGCAACAGTTTTTCAGAGTCGTTTAACATTTCATACAATGGGCTGACTTTTTAACCTGACGTATCATAATTCATGATATAATAAAATACAAGTAAACTTGTTTTTTATTTTTATATGTGTATTAAGTTTTGTCATAATTATGATAATGTTGTGTATTTGAAAATGAACATTAACATTGCTCAAATAATAAAACAATCCCATTACAAAACTGCGTTTGTGTTTTGTGTTTAATAAGGTTGAGACTAAATGACTATCACCCAAACCGTCACATTATCAGAACATTAACTGGTTTAACTAAACAAGTGCCTTTGACATGTTTTAAAATCTCGTAACAAAGTTAAATCATCGACCAATAACCAAAGAAAGGTTAATCTATCAAGTCTAAACTACGAAATGGCGTTACAAGTAACATTATGCTCATAATTTGCATTGTTAAGCTGAGATTAATTAGTCCTGTATTTCAAAAGGTTGACTATTTT